TGGAGCTAGCCTGGCAGCACAGAAGCAGCAGTTTTAGTAAAGACTTTAGAAAGGGAAATGGAAGGAGGTGAAGTAGTTTTTAGTGCTTACTATTAGGGAGAACCTGCCTGGAGCTAGCTTGGCAGCACAGAAGCAGCAGTTTTAGTAAGGACTTTAGAAAGGGAAATGCCAGCTGGTGAAGTAGTTTTTAGTATTAAGGTCTGGTGCTTACTATTAGGGAGAACCTGCCTGGAGCTAGCTTGGCAGCACAGAAGCAGCAGTTTTAGTAAGGACTTTAGAAAGGGAAATGCCAGCTGGTGAAGTAGTTTTTAGTATTAAGGTCTGGTGCTTACTATTAAGGAGAACCTGCCTGGAGCTAGCTTGGCAGCACAGAAGCAGCAGTTTTAGTAAAGACTTTAGAAAGGGAAATGCCAGCTGGTGAAGTAGTTTTTAGTATTAAGGTCTGGTGCTTACTATTAGGGAGAACCTGCCTGGAGCTAGCTTGGCAGCACAGAAGCAGCAGTTTTAGTAAGGACTTTAGAAAGGGAAATGGAAGGAGGTGAAGTAGTTTTTAGTATTAAGGTCTGGTGCTTACTATTAGGGAGAACCTGCCTGGAGCTAGCTTGGCAGCACAGAAGCAGCAGTTTTAGTAAAGACTTTAGAAAGGGAAATGGAAGGAGGTGAAGTAGTTTTTAGTATTAAGGTCTGGTGCTTAGTATTAGGGAGAACCTGCCTGGAGCTAGCCTGGCAGCACAGAAGCAGCAGTTTTAGTAAGGACTTTAGAAAGGGAAATGGAAGGAGGTGAAGTAGTTTTTAGTATTAAGGTCTGGTGCTTACTATTAGGGAGAACCTGCCTGGAGCTAGCTTGGCAGCACAGAAGCAGTTTGAGAAGGACTTTAGAAAGGGAAATGGAAGGAGGTGAAGAAGTGTTTTTCGTATTAAGGTCTGGTGCTTACTATTAGGGAGAACCTGCCTGGAGCTAGCTTGGCAGCACAGAAGCAGCAGTTTTAGTAAGGACTTTAGAAAGGGAAATGGAAGGAGGGAAATGAAATGCACAACACATTCCAAAAAAGCACCCTCTCTCCAATTCAACTGCCTCTGTCAACTGCAACTCTCTTTGCTGCCAAGTTGCTGTCTGGACAGCCAGCTGCACCAAGGCTGCCTGGACCTCGGCTGCCTGGCCCGCTGCTGCCTGCTCCCCCTGAACTGGCTGGCCGTTTGCGTTCATGGCTTCTGAGGCTGTCTTACTGACTTGCGTCTGTTGGCGCTGGCTGCCTGTCTCTGTGCTTGAACCAACAAGCCATGGAAGCTGACTGTCTGTGCACCTGACCCACTGGATGCTGGATAAATACTTACACATTCTAAATAGTTACTAATTACATATAATTACACATATAGTTATTTGATTACATATATAAAAATTATGGATTCTATTATCTGCCAAATAAATCTTATTGCCAGCATAATTATGAAAACCCTCATGATTACTAATTACATATACACATATAATTGATTGTACGTCTATTTACTTATTTGTAGCCATCATGAAGCCCTCATGAATAATTATTACATATACACGAATGAAGTGATTATATATATATATACTTTTATATACATATGCATCTAATTAATTAATTAGAATTATTTAGAAATCTTTATAAAATGAATAATCCCTTCCTCCATTCTAATGCATTAATAACTAATTAACATGACTTCGATTTGGTTCCCTAATAATAAATACCCCCCTAATACTAAAAACTACCTGCCGTGTTTTGTATTAGGGGGGGGTTTAGTATTAGGAGGAAGGGATTAATTACACGGCATTGTCGTTGCTGGCAACTTAAGTGTTACCTCGTGAGTGGTCATGCCTGCACGGCTTGCTCTGTGTGATCTCGGGGCTCCTGGCTGGGATCACGCTCTAAGACTCGGTCCTTGCATGAGAAGAAGCTGTTATCAAGAAAACATCGACACAGGTGGTCGCATGAAACATGGCAAATCATGAAACCAAAACACAAACCACCAAAAACAAAAGGGAAGACGCAGATCCCCCAGCCAGATTTGCGTCTTACAATCCAAAGGACAGCAAAGCAAACAGCGAAAGGGGCAAGAGCCCAACAGAAACAACCACAAAAGAGATTTGCCAAGGACACAGTGGTAAAAAATCCACTGTGTCGCAACTGAGCAAACGAATAAGTTACCACCCAATAAAGTGAGACACGCGATCATAAAGCGTCAGCTAGAGCAGGAGAAAGATGACGTTGGCGGCCAGGTGTCTTCGTGGCCCTCCCCATTGCGGGGAGCGGCCCAGTGGCCAACGACAATGCGGTCACACAGGACCAGGTCAGTGACCATCCGTCAAAAGCCACAAATACATCAAGGGCGTCTCAGGGTGGACATGACCACTGTGCCGTCAAAAGGGAAAACGTCGCAGGCACAATCAAGCATGGTCAGCACTTCATCGTAATGTCCAATGACATGCTTGCCGACAATTACAATTCATCTTTTTGCTGCGATTGAATGTGTGTAACGACCTGGCGGAAGCCATGAAGGCGTTGGACGGAAAAAAATGACATGCTTGCCATAGCAGTAAACTCTTCACCAAAACATGCAATGTCACGGGGGTGTAAAAATCTTAATGAACCCTCAACTCAGCTCAGCGAGTTCCAAATCCTTTTCGCGCCGTTAACAAACAGGTCACACAAGGCACAAAACCAAGTGTCTTAAATTCTCTTGTTACTCGAGCCACTCTCTGGTTGAGCAACACAAAGTCACACGGACTTCTCAAAACCAAAAGACTGCTGTACCAACTGCGGATTCCAGATCAAAAGTTGTTTCAGACAACATCCTACGCAACAATCAACGATTCCGACCTAGTGTGTAACTAGTTGGTACCATTAAGTGGTTGATTTAACCAATCCAAACACAAACCAGAGGCAAGAAACCAACAAACCAAGGTTTGTGGTTTCTCCCCTCAGACTTACCCCTTTTCACCTGCCGACAGTGGCATCACATCGGGGTGTTTTGTCATCACCGAGGAGAAACCCCAAACGGGATAATAAAGAATCAACCACCCATAGCACCTTAGCTTCACAGGAGATGTTGTGTATGCAACATCGACAAAATTGGTTGCACCAAAACTTGCCGTTTCCATATCATCCAATGATGATACTCACAGAAATCTTTACAGCATGATTTGACGAACAACTTCGTGATGTCAAATCATCTTCAAATGGTCCAAAGGTGATTGAAATACTTCTTCAATGTTCCGAACGTTTCCGAAAATGTTCAAATGTTTCCAAAACCGTTCCAAACAAACTGTGATCAAATCGGCTAAATCCCTAAAGCTCGAAAAACACTCTCGTCTCATTGAAAACGCAAATTCCAGCAAATACAGAGGCCAAAACGCAATGTCACCGAAATCGCATCCAATGAAATACCGTCCATTCTAGAACATTCTCAGCTCATCAAAAGTGCAGAATCTCAATGAATACCGAAGTCAAATGCAGTATCATAGAAGCATCATCCAATGAACTATTGTACCAAATAGAGGTGCACAACGGTCTAATCCCAGCGTACATCGTGAAGAAGCACGACGGTCCAATACCATATATTCACACCCCCTTTCGGCGTGCTGCTTCCAAACCCAAAACGACACATCCCACTCGAAAAGTCTTCAGTGTCTAACAGAAAGGAAGTCTCCTGTATCAAAAGCTGTTGGCCGGAGCCACATTGATCCCATTCTCTTCCAGCTGGACCGCAAAAACCCAAAGCGACACCATGTGTCTAACAGAAATTGCAATCGAAGCCAGATACCTTTGTTTCAATACATAGACCTTTCCAATAAATCAGGTCCCCTTGGAGACATTCAGAATCGCAAAGCCCATGCATCGATGACCGGAGTCACGTTGAGATCATGGCTTAACCACTCTCTTCCAAGAACCAGCTGGCTCTCTCTCAGGATCAAACTCCATATAGAGAAGAAACCCAGCCAAGTCCACGGCTTGAGACTTGTGAGTTCCATCATAGGACCCATGATACTTCTTGAAAATGAATCCCAGATACTTGTCCAGCTCAATGTCACCGTCAATAGCCATCCTAAGCAGTTCAGAATAAGTCTTTCCGTTCCACTTCGGCTCACCATTGACTTTCGGAAGCTGGCACACCGTGTGAGACCACTCCTTCAGAGTGCAATTCTTTGGCAATGGAACCTCCTTGCGATCTTCACTTCGGAAGAGCTCACTTGGAGTAGTTGGAGATCCAACTGCTTCAAAGTCCGAATCACTCTCTCCCCTCAAACGCTTGGAAGCATCAGTCATTGCTGATCCACCAGACGCCTTCGGAGCCTGCTGAGCCTTATTCAACAGTGCTTTCAACTGCTTCTCCTCATCTTCTGTCAAACCACTATATCCAGCTGCATTCTTAGACACAGCCATGGCTTCAGGAAGTGAGGAGAGTAAAACGTAAGTCTTACTTCGGCGCTACTTAGAATCCGAAACAACACAAAGCCTAAGCCAAGAATCCAAACAGATCTCCACAGTCGCTACCAGAGCAAGGTCAGTGAAACGCAAGAAAGAACGAGACCTGCCCACCTGGCACCCACACAGACCTTCAAGGCCCGCCCACATACCAGATACACACACCTCAAACTATACATGTTCCAGTCAAAGATCTTAGACCTTTCCAACTGCAACGCATGTCAAGTCCAGTCTGTTTCAGACAAGTTCAAAACAGTTTGCATCAAGTCCAAGACATGTCCCATGCTTCGCATTGAGATCAGTTTCAAAGTTTCAGTGCACGATCGTTTCAGATAAAACTTTATTTCGTCAGCTCAAGTTCGAAAACCAAAATCGAATCAAGAAACCTGTCATCCTCAATTCACAACAGCAACAACAAAACTATCCATCATTTCTCAATGCGTCCAAAGCACCACGAATAATCGAAACAGCTAGATTCTCATTGTAGAAAGCAGTTTCTGCCCAATCCACATCAGTCAAACCAGCATGTTTCTGAGTGCAGTGACACTGTCCAAAGTCCTTGGCCAATCGACCAACCATCAGCTTGCTGTTACTGGTGAACTTCAACACCTTTCCAACTGGTTCTCCGTCCTTAGTCATTGAACCTGTTGAGCACAAGTGCACAGCTGCAACATGTTTGTGTTGAGCTTGATTCAGAATCTTCGTGGTCATGGCATGAGTCCAAATCGCATTCCTCCATGGCAACTCGAAAGATGAATATTTCCCCAATTTCATGTATCTGGCAACATGAGGAGTAACATCAAACCAAATCACATCCGCTTCAGTGGTCGTGTTGTCACCTCTGAAATTCCTTAATGGAGATCCCGAAGAACATGGTGATGAAACATGGACAAAAACTTTCGATCTTCCCAGATCTTTCAATGCATCAACCACCTGATCAAAAACAGTTTTCTTTTCCATATTCTCAACAACACCAATGTACAGAAATCCAAACCTTCTAGCTACCTTGGAAATGCTGGAGTCCGGTTTGCAACACACCGCAATGAACACAAAACCACTCGAAATGGCCATGATGGCTCCCAGAGGAGCGTCCAAAACCTCGAAACCAATTGCTGCTCTGTGTGTCCCAAAGATTGAGCTCCCCAGGCATTTTGTCAAAGCGTCAGCTGGATTATTGGACCCCTTCTCATAGTGGATTTTCAACTTTCCCAGTTCCACTCTCTCTCGAAGCCATTCAATCCGAATCTCAAGGTGTCGAGATTTTCGTGGTAAATCCAAACCTTTCAACAGTTTGATCGACGACTCAGAGTCAGTTCGCAGAACTCCTGGAATCTCACTGGAATCAATCTCCCTGAAGGAAAACAGAATTCTCCCAAGCATCTTTCCCATAGATACCATCTCCTGACTCACACTCTGAAGTGCGTACAGCTCGCTCTCCATAGAGCTCAGTGATACCAGAGCTTGATGCCTGGACAACGTTTTCAACGTACATCCCTGAAAAGTCAGAACACCTCCTGAAATTCCACGACGTCCGGTCGCTTTCAACGGAGCGTGAGACGCATCCGAGAATGCAACAATGTGTGATCCCTGAAAAACCTCTGAGTGCAACAATGGTGAATCACTTGGAAACCTAACTGCAACATTCATGTCACCTCTAAGGTATCTTAACAGCATACGCATGGCATGTTCCGTATACTGATTTGGCTTTGACTGCTGAGTCACTAGGATACCTATCCATGCACGCAAGTCTCCACGAGTTTGGGCCATCCATGAAACCTTACCCAAAGCTGCTCTAAACCGTGCATAAGCATCAATGCTCAGTTCTTCACCACCGTCTCTGTCGATGACCGGAGTCACGTCAGGTGGACCTTTGGCGTTTGTTTTGATTTGATAACTGGCAAACGTGTCATCCAGGTAGTTAGATGGAAGTGAGATCAACAAAGACTTCTCACCACGCCTCCTAGTGATAAGCCTTCCCAAAAACCTCAACTGTCCCCCTTTCGAATGATCATGTATCAAACCAGTTCTTTTCAACCTCACACTTTTCCCAACGGTATCAAAGACAAAGTCAATTGCATCAACCGATGGCACAACACAAATCAAATCATCAACATATGACAGAATCATGCATGGTTCACCGGAAGGCAACAAACCGCTGTATAAGCAAGGTTCCAAACCACAAGAACGCAACCTGCGCTTATCAACAATCGACGACAAGTACACATTCCACTCCTGGCTGGCACTCCTCAGTCCATTCAGGGCTTTACTCAGCCATAGGTACAACGCCTCCCCTGTCATAGAAGTGATGCTTGCAGGCAACTTGGCAATCACATTCCGGGAACGTAGCGGCGTGGCCATAAAAGCCGCCGATATATCAGCTGCCCCAACCAGCCAATCTCGTTGACCAGCAAAGCATAACATGGCAAACAACGCTTCACTCGAGGGAGTGGGTGACGATATTCCGAGTGACCGGGCTGATTCAGCACCCTTTGCAACGTCTTTCAAGACAATCCGAGCACGAACCAAAGTCGCATTCTTGCGAGTAGTCACCCATCGAGATGGAATAACCCTGCATTGCTTCCTCAAGTCACCGATCTCGGACTCAGTCATCAAGTCACCACATTGCATGCAATCCAAATTGCCTATTTCAGTTTTCATACCTTCAAGAGTCAAGTCACCAGGCAACTCCTCCAATGTTGAATCATCAATGGAGCCACTAGGACACCAGATCCGAATACGCTTGTCACCAAACGAAACAACAGAACTGGAGGCATTCTTGTCAAACTTCAACGAAGCAAGAGGCAAGTGACAAATGAGGTCATCCGAGTCAGTTGTGAGAAAAGCCAACGCATACACTTCGTGCAAGTCATTGATGGGGGGTCTCAGACAACGAGGAATCACATGTCAAGCCAGACACAAGTCCAGCAATGTCAGGTTTTACATCAATACGTTTGTTGTCATCCCTGACCTCCCGATCCAATTCCGCAAGTTCCACATCAGGTTCCCGCTTCAGACCTCTTCTCTCAATCATGAGATCCTCTTCTGACCATTTTCGCTTGACTCCAACAGATGCCTTAGGGTAGCTACCAAGGGAATCAGGTCGAGAAACACCACCAGACTGAGAAGAACTCCCAGCCTGGGACGTGCTCCCTTCCCCACCCCCAAGGTTCACATCCACCGGCTCCTGGGATTCAACCTTTGGTTCAATCTTAAGTTCAGCGGCTGGTCCAGTCAACACATCATCCTGTGGATCAAACGCAAGTGGATCAAGCTCCTCGAAAGAATCCAAGGCACCTTGACGGGTCAAAGGAACACCACTAGGAACAGAGACCTCCTTGCCAGACCCGTCACTTTTCACCTCCTGTTCAACCTTAAGTTTACTATCAGAAGGCTTAGAGCCCTTGGCTAGGTTGAGTTCAGAACGGATCCAATTCTCATACCGCTCCATACAGTCCCTAGAGTGATTCTTATTCCCCCGGGTCCCTCTAATTTCTATCTCCTTACAAGCAGAACACTTCAACGATACCCCATGTTCGTCTAGCCACTTCACAGGTGGTCCAGTTGCAGGACATCTCAAGTCTGCTGGCAATGGAACAGAAACCTCTTCTGAAGACCTTGGAGCCTCTGGTAACCCACTACGTTCATCTACCAACTTGACAAACAAACCATGACCATCAAGAATCTCAACAGGCATGCAAAGTTTGATTGACTTGGCAACAAAACGCTGGATAACCATCTCTGAACCAATTCGGATTCTTGCAGAAACCCAAACTCCCATTGACGAAAACTCAGGATGCAAGTAGACCCCTTCGACAAACCTTGGCAAATTAGGATGCTTTGCAATGATGGATTCAGGAACTTCGGCTAAAACCTTACATCCAAACAGTGCAAAAGCATGATTCTTGGCTGTATCCCCAATCACCAAGTCTCTTGGAGTTCGGCTGGACTGCTGAACAGTCGTGAAATTGTTGTGGGCAAAACAAATGTAGTTCAAACAGCACTGCCAAACTGGAGAACTGAAAACCAGAGTATGTCCCATCTTCTGAAAGTCCAACTGCAACGTTTTCAGACTCTCTTTGATTTCCCGAATAGTCCTCTCTGCAGTCCCATTCGCTTGATGCCCTTGTGGTGGTGCCCTTTCAACCACAACACCCATTGGCAACCCTGCTGATGCAATGAAATTCCCAACAGAAGACTCAGCATCCGTGATTACCCTCAGAGAATGTTGGTCCTTGCTACCCCATAAACCCATTTCAAACAACCACTTCTGAAGTTGGCGGTTATCCCTCTGTCGATCACCAGTCATAAGAACACAACCAATGCTTGAACTGTAGGATTCACGGATCACAAGAAACTTCACATTCCCCCTTTCGCTATCTCCAGATTCCGGTACCCACTCAAAGTCCTTGTTGAGAAAACCAAAATCAGCATGAATTTCAAATTCAGTTCCTTTGGGGGTTTTCTTTCGGGAATGTTTAGTTACTCCACGGCAACTCTGACAAACCTCGCAAGTCGGCTCATAGGGCCGGTGTCCTCTGAGTCTGTGCTGCACCATCTGGTCCGCGCTCAAGGCACAAACCGTGTCCCCCTTTGGAAAACTATCCGCAACCACCGGAGAAACATTGAGGGCTACATCACTCCCTTCATATGGAACAACACGAATCCATGGTGTGTCATGCCAAAATGACAAATCACGAACCACATGTTGGGATTTCCTATGAAACATCCTAACATGGTCCTGGTCAAAAGTCACGTCCCAACCCTGTTGTGTCAACTTGCAAACAGAGATAATAGGATATGTCGTTCTCCCTACCATGACGTCCAAAGGAATTACAGCTGGTTTCACGTTTCCGTCTCTGTCCAAAACCTCAATCTGCAACAGCAATTTACAACTACCTTCCAAATCAACTGAAGGTCCATTAGCAGCTTGCAACGGCCCTACATTGTTTTGGATTTCG